TGCCACAACACTTCTCTCATTTTCCACTATATCAATTTCCGATACAAATTCTTCGACGTGTCCAGTACGAATGGATCCAGGCAAATAACAGTAAATGCAACCACACCCTCAATCACGTATTGGTTAGAATGTTAGATCACCTTACACAACAGTTATCACCTCTCCACTTATGTGGTGTACAAGATAATTTTATGCTGAGATACAGGGCCGAACTAGACAATGCAATAGTAAATAGTCCTTGAAAAATGCAACTCTTGCCTTATTGTTATTGTTAAGCAAAATAATGTTTTAAAGGATAAGTAGGTAGGTACATGTTGTAATACCTAAGTAAGACATAAACCATGCTCTTTAACCTTAAAGGGATGAAGACAGTTTAGACACGTCTTAGGTACCTGATTACACGTAAGTAAATTTAAATAATTAAAGCTAGTTGGTTCACAAACAAGTGCCTGTAAAATGGACTTTGTTTCAATGGGCCTCCCAAACAGCGCTGGGCTCATGGTAAATCCGGGACTGTTGAAATAACTCGAACGTGAACTACCATAAGAATTATTATGTGACCTAAGACCCTTACGTGAGTTGCAAATTCTTGAGAGCGTATTGCTGAATTCGTGTGACGATTGATGTGCGCTCTTGATGATTTGCTATGGGATTTATGTGTGCCAGACTGGGTAGGGTTGTAAGATCTGCTCATTTATTGTATTGCAACCTTAGTTTGATTAAAGATCTTTACGTAAAGTACAATCTGCACAGTTCGTTTGAGCAGGTTGTTAAATTTTAAGCTATTTATTGATAAGTGTAGGGTAGCAAACGTGCAGACTCAGCAGTCGGGTCACCGGATGGTAAGCGATCGCCGCCGACACCTGCAACATCAGAGATGCTACCAGTGCGTTGCCGGCCCATTATGGCTTAGAGAGTCGAGGAATAGGTACTTAGGGATAGATGGGATTAGGTTTGAAAAAAAAAAATCTAAAACGGTATAGACTTATTTTATTTCACACTTTCGTCTACAATTATATCGTATAGACTTCTGTAGAGTTAAGTACTCCTAAAAACGTTAAACTGTGAAAAATGGGCGTTCAAAGAACAGTAGCATATTTGTAGTAAACCAATATGTAGTTATAGCACATACATCATCTATTGCATAATACTGGTGGAACAGTCTAGACTACACTAGACGTATTTTTAGTGTTTATTTAAAAATTAGAACTAATCACGTGAATTTGCTAGAAGTGACACTGTAATGGAGTTTTTTAACATTTTATGTCTAGATGTTCATATGCCTCGTTGGGACATAGACCTTATAGTGTGAAGTAGAATATCACCTGATGTTTAAAAGGCAGAATAGTGACTTGTACATATGTTGAAATATTTTTAAAGTGATCAGTTGCGGTTTATAGATAGGGTCTTACTACATGTACTACATACAGGCTGTATTGTGCATCGCGTTGTCTTTTCTTCAAGTGTTAAGAATTGTTTTAGTGGTTATTTTGTTTACGTAAGGTGTTGTTTGGATTTTGTAGTGATACCAATGTCTTCTGAACAAGATACGGTAGGTATCTTGTAGGCTATAATTCTTAGCACAACTCAGTGTTTTAATGAATAACGTAACGCTATTAATTGATATACGTGTTAGATGACGAACCATAGCCAAGTCCCCAAGCGGTCACCGGTGACCGCACTCCACTTACTCCATTATAGACCTTATTTTCGATGTTTAGAAACTGCTTTTGTATGAACAAATGTTATAGATTTTTCATAATCGGGATTAATAAGCAAAAATACTTATCTAACTTTGCTCTTGCTGCCTCTGGTAGTCATATCAGTAATATCAAAGACACCAACTCGAATATAAAGAAAATTACTATCGCCATATGAAATACAGCCATCAAACGTGACAATAGAGGTAGTGGTGTCGTACAAATTAATAATCATATTAATATAGTTGAACACCTGGACGCACCCACGGGCGGGGCTATCCATCCATCGGACAATGTGACAAGAGAAACTAACACGGAATCGAATGTGGTACCTCGATAAATTAAATGTGCTATCATAATTCATATTGACCGCCAATAGGGCTTTCATGTGTGGTCTAATGGTTAAGGTTGAAGGTAACGATTATGGTGAAAAGGAATTTGTAACTTTTACTTGATAACTTATTTAGGAAAAAGTTGTTTCTTATGGTTTTTCAATAACTTCATTGTTGTTAAATTTTATAACACCCACTTTTCACCATTTTATGTCATGAGTCCCATGTAATAGAGGTCGAGCTTATTGCCATATAGCGGGCACAATTCCAAACTCCGTGCACTACTACTGTGGTTTTTCTTAAAAGCCCGGTAATACTTTGTCCGACCCAGGAATCGGACCGAATTTAGCGACCACTCTGTCAATGAGGCAGTTGTAAAAGTAAAAAATGTAGAATAATATAATTCTAAAAAAAATAAATAAAAGTAACTTCGAACTTATTGGGAAGCGTCAGCACCTAAACTAAAATGAATAGTATAACAGTTCTGAATACATAGTATCAAAGCTATCCCAGTACTTTAACTATGGGTAACCCTACCAGGGCACCAGTGATGGATGGAGCTACGCCTTGGGATAGCGATTGCTCAGGCGCCGATTACGTATCGCTATCTGCCTTATAGCTTATAGGAATTATGCAACCTATTGATAATACCACGGAGAATTAAACGACTATTGTATTGTTTTAATTTAGTTGTTTAATGGGTCTATTCAAAGGCTTGCCCATGGTTTAATTTTGAAGTAGGTTACTCTGATTCACAAATACACTCACCGGCACGGAAACTTGGCCACCGACAAACTTGCCGATATTTTCTATTTAAATATTAAATTTTCACTATATTATGGGTTTATGCACTAAATTAGAGTTTTTCATGGTTTAGTAACTCAGTTATTGAAAAATTGATGCACCAGCAGTAATCTTTTAAAAAATAATCATTTTCACAAAAATATTGATTTTAACACTGTCAATTTAAAAAGAACACAAAATGAAAAATAAACATAAAGTCTTCATTGTTTTTGCATTTTAATATTGGGTGTTTCCTCCCCTAGCCCTGATAACAGCTTGCATTCGTTCTGGCATACTTTGGATGATGTTTCTGATCTCAACTTGTGGTATGCTTTCCCAAGCGGTCAGTGCTGCATTTCGAAGCTGGTTCAGAGTTTCAGGCGGGTTGGAGGAGGACTTTATTTTTCTTTTAAGCATGTCCCAGATATGCTCTATAGGATTTAAGTCTGGACTACGAGCTGGCCACTGCAATTTTTGAATACCAACCTCTGTAAGGTATTCCTCCACGCAATGTGCAACGTGTGGGCGCGCGTTATCGTGCATTAGGAGGAATTCGTCGAACCCAAGAAACCCCGAATACGGCAACACATGTTCCTGAAGAATCTCCTCGATGTATCGTGTTGCCGTTAATCGGTTATCGACGATAACTAACTCCGTACGTGCATCGGAACTTATTCCTCCCCAAACCATTATAGAGCCTCCATGAAAACTAACAGTTTGTGTGGTGGTAATGGGTAAAAACCGCTCTCCTCTTCTTCTCCATACTCGCTCCCGACCATCTGGAGCTCGTAAAGCGATTCGACACTCATCTGTGAACAGTACTCGAGCCCACTGCTCTTGGGTCCAGTTGACGTGTTCTCGTGCGAATCGTAGTCGAGCTACTCGGTGACTTCTGAGAAGTTCTGGGCCACGTGCTGGTCTACGAGCTTTTAAATTCACTTCCTCTATTCGTCTTCTCACTGTACGTTCACTAACATTGACACCTCTTGTGAACTGGAGTCGCCGGCGTATCTCAACAGCGGTGAGGTAGCGGTTTCTCAAAATTTCTAGGACAATAAAGCGATCATCCCTGGCTGATGTGCATCTGACACCTCCGCTGCCTGGTCTGCGGGAGTAGCGGCCTGTCTCCTGGTATCGTTTCAGCGCATACTGCATCGATGAACGTGGTACATTCAGAATAACAGCAACTTCTCGCTGTGTCAGCCCTTGTTCGATCAATGCTACAGCTTGTGCAACCTGTGATGGTGTTAATGGCATTTTTATTGGAATCAAATCACCTTTAGTCATTGAAGAAACAGTACGATATGACAATAATTGAATAACCTAACAATAAACTTTCACAAAACACAAATTTAAAACAGCAACTTAGTCGCTCAGATGACCGTGTTCAACTAAAACTTAAAAATAACGTCATATTGCACTCAAACGTGATAAATTACCCTCTTGAACTAAAGGTAAACATTTTTTAGACCTACCTTCATTATAAATAATCATAGGAAACACTTAAAGCTCTTGTTATCGCGAAATACGCACTTGGCCAAGATTCCGTGCCGGTGAGTGTAGTTACAAAAACGTTATAGTTACTATAGGCAATTGACATAAACGCCTGTTACTTTAGATGAAAATAAAAGTCAATTTATAGCATTGACATGAGCTTTTATATAATTTGTCGAATGTCAATGTCAATTCTATAAGTAATTTAATTGTTTATTCTGTCGTAGCTTTTAGTGCCATATTCATATAGGGCTGTATACATAATTAACATTAAGAATTACTTACGATTCAGAATTATGAGTGAATTTAATGTATCGGAAAGCATTCTGTCTTCTTAGTGAATTCTTGTATTTACAATCAAACAATCTTATGCGCTTTGAAAGTCACACACACACACACACACACACACACACATACACGTAAAATCTTTTCTATGTAAACGATCCATTTAAAACCGCTATTATTGGTTCGATAATTTCTTCAAATTATCTCCATGTATGGCGAGAATTTCTTCCATAGAAAATTCCCAATACCACTTATTGTGATTACAAATAAACTGTGTTTTATCTAATTGAATATTCATTATCAATGTCCATTCCTTTGTATGCCCACGCACTTGCTCAAGCGCATGGGACCCGTAACGTAGTGATGGTATCTCTACTCTATACTATAATTACTTTTATTGTTTCAGGTAAGTTGAGTAACTGACCAGTCGGTTTAATTCTGAGGGTAAGTACTTGTGCGTTCTTAAGGTGGGTGCCTAATGAGGCGAAACATTGATTTGATTTTTTATTGGACATATTATGTCAACTTGTTTGAGGTTAGGTTAGGTTATAAGTGCGTCGACTTGGTATGAAATCTTAGTACAATAACAGAGTTGGGCATACTACATGTTATTCACCGGCTCGGGCACAAGCACAGATATATTAAAGAAGCACAAGTCTAGACTTAGTACTTCTATGTGTATTATAAGCTCGTTTGTATGTGTTCGTTTACCTCTAGCAAACATTTTGTGATCAAAAAACCAACGACTGTGACGATGCTACGGATGTGTCCTAATGAAAACTTAATGTTAATCTTATCTACAGGTTGTTACACCTTATTGCACACAGACCCTTAGAACCCAAATGACAGAAACTTGCGAACAAAAGGTCTATGAACAATGACAGCTATGTTATTGTGTAGCCAATGTTTATCGATGGTAACCACAGATACAACACGACCGTAATATTAAGATAATCGTTTGTAGGGCGTATATTATCTGTTCTATAAATGTTTTCTTTGATAAAAATCTAATTATAAACCTTATTGTTATTCAAATCAATGTTCTGATTGAGTCTTTTGAGTGTAACAAGGGTTTCTGTTGTGAGTTAATTGATTTTAGGGTTGACAAATTTACTCAACGTCTTTATTGCCGTCCATATATAATTTATTTTAGTTCCTTCAATTTACTTTATCTAGAAGTCAACCAATTACAAAGTGTGACAGCAAAATGACACAGGAAACTCATAGACAATTCAGTTACAAACTTTTTAATGGTAACCCTTCAAGTAACTGTCGGTTGGCACTTGTGATCAGTGTTCATTGATCCGTGGCCCACCAGATCGATGCTATACATACACCCAGCTATTACGACCCTGTTTCCCTAATTTTATGGAAACCCCGTAAATTGCCGGGTGCCCATACAAATCTTGTAGTGGGAGTAATTGTGGGGGCTATCCGTATGTAGCGTTATTGCAGGAGCGCATGTGCCCGCATTTATTTTAGGGATTTTATTAGTAACCATGAATGGGGAAAATGTAGATTTGGCCCAAAAAGTTTTTGTAAGGGGTGTGAATTGACTTCGTGATATTTCGACTCGGAAGACAACATATTCATTTAGTATGCTGTTATGTGTAATAGAATGTTTTAGTGTTTGAGAAACTAGTGTTAAGTTAACAGTATTAAGTATTTTCTTGTATGTTTTTGAACATGAATCTGGATTTTTACTTTACATTCATATTTATACGTGATGGTGCTAGTAAGATTGAAAATATCAATAAAAATTGATCTTTTGTATTACAGTGGCAATCAACACCACCAAACAATAATACAATACTTACAAATAACCACACCAAAGAGCCAATCAACAAACTTAACAATGAATAAGTTACTTAACCATCATTGTTTAGCCAAAGAGCTGAAAGCAAAAACTTCCATTGCACAATAAAAGTAACAAAAGGAACATAACTGACAGTTTGCCTCAATTACCGTATCCTAATCCGTAATCGGTAATCAGGTGTTGACCGTAACAAAGTATTAGGTAATAATGTACCTATAACAGTTACCGCACAACACTAAGGTACAGTACCTACGATTGAAATCGATATGGAAGATGCAATCGATGTTAATTGCAATAGAGACGCTGCAGATGATGGAAATGAATTTGACAATGAAATTGCAAATGTAGGCATAGCTGCATTTGTGCTATTGTTACTACATTTTTAATGTATGTTATTGTTCGGAAATTATGTTATTCAGATAGCAAAAGTATAAGATATTACAGATTTTTTGAGATACATACATAGTTTTAGTATTCAAGGATGAATACAAAAATTTTGAACAGTTAATGAATATCATAAGTATACCAAACAAAACATATATTAAATGCTAGAGAAAACAGCTCAATTTAAAACGAAATTCCACAATAAACAATGGTGTAATTTCTGCTCTTTCCTTATAAGCGGGCATTCTATACCAGCCCTATAGTCGCTTACGGTAAGGCACGGGTCACTTCACACGAATCGAGGAATTACGCGACATTGCCCGCGGCCACCTCGATCGTGGTACCCGTTCCAATGTGAAACGTTTGCAAGCAACTTATTGTTATCCAAGGAATTGTTATCTATACAAATTGGCCACTTGAAATCTATTGGAAAATAGGAACCGATTTTCTCAGAATATTCTCGATTAGATGAGAAATCGTTTGATTTGATGATTGATATGTTTCCTAGTGTCGAGCAATTTGCTGTAAATATAGAAAATGGCAACGATACGGTTGATTAAGCTTTCGTTGGTCAGTGATGCAAGAAACTCTAAGACATTTTTGTCTCATCCAATTCTTTGGACACGGTTGTAGACCAAGTTATGGTAAAAACGGCTAAAGAAAAAAAAAGGAACTTTGAGCCGAAGTCGGATTCTGAAGTATAGTTTTGCAAATTGCTAATATGTTCACTAACCTTTACAAACCATAGAAAACAAATTACACAGTCTTAGTATTAATGTGAGACCTTTAAATCCGTGCATCGTTATATGCGCGTGGGCATGATGTGGGCGGGGCTTGCAACAGCGTTGCAGATGTGCTTCGATCTCACGGAAACGATGCTTACTGAGTTATGGATTGTAGGACTTACGATTTGGCTTATCCTTGGGGGTAGGGCTAAGAGGGGCTCAGCAGAATATAATTTCAATACCGAACCGATTGTAATAGAATCTCTCGATAAGGTAAAATAACAGAAAGATTTAGAAACTATAATCAAATAAATAAATTTTATCATGAATTTATTAATTTTAGATCAAGTTTTTAGATCTTAAAAATATTACACTTTATTTCTATGCTAATGATAGAACTAGATCTTTGATATCTTTTTTTATATATATTAACGATATTATAATCAGAATAGCAACGTTAATAGCCTTTAAAGTAATACCAGACGTTTTTATAAATATACTATTTTATCGGTTCTGCAAAGATCTTATGTTTGATTGTGGTACCCATCCTGTAATTTTGTGGTTCAAAGAAGGGATCGAATTTTCTAGCACACTTTCAATTTGAAGTTCTCTGTTACTAGGCATATCCCCCATGCTATAAAAGTTATCCACAATGTTTGTTCCAGCAGCTTCTATAACAGAGAACCGCGGGCCGTATATTTTCACTCAACAATCCACAATTTGCATGCATAAAATTGTTTAGAAAGTTACAATTTCCATACATCAGCCTTGCGTTCCTGTTGGCACATCCAATATTTATCTGGTGGAACACGGAAGCTTGGTAGTACTACGCAATGTTCAAGACCGGGAAGCGAACACTAATAATTGTAACTCGATATAAATGAAGAGATAACGTCCATTACCACTGTTTAAGGAAGCGTAGTCAGTTTCCTTTGATATATTGCTACAATACACAGGTGTTGGACATAAAATATGTAAATGAGAAAGTTTAGGTGGGTCCAATGGACTAGAAGCTGATGGTAGTAAGACAAATTCAGCTGCTACCAACTTAAACACAATTTAAAACCGTAAGCTACTAAGGCAGAATTATACTTTGTTCATTACACTTATCTAGTTAACTATGAATATTTTAAGGCCTTACAAATTCTCCAAAATCCTCCACGATTTGTGAAGAAACTTTCGCTGGATGATTCCCATTAAAAATCAATTACTTCTCTCCTTTGGTTGGAAACGCACGCACGCGCCACAAGACTACGCTTTTCAAATCTTGTCCATTGTTATATGTACTTCTTTTGTGGAGACAAACGTGACTTACTATGAGAATTTGTGGTCAAGATGTCACACGTGATAAAATTAAGTCACCAATGACCTCAAAAGGTATAGGGGACATCTACCTATTTTTTCAAACCTTATTTTGCCAAACATTTCATTTGCCATGTTTTAGTAAAGAGTACCAAAACCTTCTTTAACAGTAATCCTTTTTTAGTCTTCAAGCCCTTATGTCGGAAGACTTATTCTCACTTCTAAAATTACTTTCTTAATCACCGAGACGGTGGCAAAAATGTTATTAGGTATTCACCGACAGTGACATATTTACTGTGCACAAAATTAAGTCTGCACCAATATTTCTTCAAGTGAACAAGCACATCAATTATTTCGTCACTTTCAAAGTGATTTATGATGAAATCACATTCCTTTTGGTTTATCGAACCGCATATCAGTGTACAATAGAATTATCTGGCATTATGTAACTGCTCTGATGCACTACGATGAGTGATATTCAATTGATCTAAAATTTCATGTTCTTATACAAAATTACAGTGGCTCAGAATCAAAAATGATTGATTTGGATTAAAGTGGTGTTGTTACAGACATGAAATATCTTCTCTGTTTATATGAAACTGATTTATTTCTTTAAATCCCTGTTGGTACCTTGAAAGGGCTTGGAGAAAGTTCGGCAGTTCTTTCGACAATCGGCTCTCATTGTGTTTCGATCCAGATTTGTGTTGGAGCATCAATCTTTTGCTTTGAACTGTTTTGCTCTCATTGTTAGAAAGTGCTATGTTAAATCTTTTTCTGTCACTTTAAAGATTTCTATTACATTGGCATGACGTAAATTCTATCTGATGCTTTTGTAGTTAGGCCACAAATTATTATATTACTCTTTGATTAATTTAACATAACAGAATCAGTGTTAATACTAACAACAATGTTACATTGTTCTTTTTATTTATTTACTGCCTTTTTAATGCGTCTGACCTCAATTTCTAGATATTAAGCTGCCATTAAAAATGCATAAACTTTCTGTTTCATATGTCAATAGCCATGAGAAGCTGAGTGACTGATATTAACAATAATGCTTGGTAGCTTTATATCCCTTCGTTACAAACAGATCTCTTTTAGATTATGTATCAAGCCCTTCTCTTAACAATCAACACATACAAACTCACGTAACAATTATATTTGTTGAGAAATATGACCATCTGAAGAATGATTTTCGTCAAAATGATGGTAACGATAACAATGGTACTGTATTAGATAATCGTTTGTGTTGTGATCGCATCATTATTGCCTCAGACTGTGAGAGAGGATGC